CCAAGGCAACTCACCGGGCTGTGGTCGTGGGGCTGCTTGGCACCCACACCCACCTCTGTGGTGCACAGATGCTTCCTGAAGGCAACTGGCCCAAACTAGTGCCACAGATACTTGTAAGCTGCATCAGGGCCCTCCACTCATAAATATAATGATGCTGACAATGGACAAAAGGTGTGTAGGGTCACATGTGCGGGGTGTTTAAGCTTGAAGACAGACGCTTACTGGGTTTGTAAAGGACATTTTGTGACTTCTTTAGTGGTCTTCCCCAGGCAAGCAGTGGAGTCACTATCCCTGGAGGTATTTACAAGATTTGTACATGTGGTGCTGAGCAACATGGCTTAGTGGTGGACTTGGCAGTATGCTAGATTAACAGTTGGACTTGATGATCTTAAATGTCTTTTCCAACCAAAACTATTCCATGATTCTTCAAAGAGCTGAGGATGTAGCTCATCAGCAGAAAACATTTTGCTGTGCAATGCCAAGTTGGACCTGGAGAAGTTTAGTGAGCACAGAACATGTTGCTCAGTGAATAGGGTATATGGTTTGCACAACAGCAGAGATACATGTGAGCAGCAACCAACTGGTCACTATAGCACTCTGCAGCAATGAGCACACACTTTCTGCCCTGCCCTATTTCCTGCATCATGAGAGTGCAAAGCAACTTGAGCCTGCATTCCTCTGCAATCTGGGATTGCCAGCTGCTGTAAGCTGCTGATGCAAAAGCCTCTGTGCAAAGCAGGGCATAGAGGGAGACTTTCTGCCCATCCTTGCAGCCCCATTCACCTTTCCCCCTCAGCGAGCCATAAAGCAGCTTTGACGTCCCTGGGAAAGAAGCACCAAACACACAAATGCCAGACAAAGCAAGAATCTGGGCTGCAGTACATTCCCAGCTGAGCCTTTAAAGAGCCTTCAGCAGAACAGCTTTGGCCTTCACATTGTGGCCTGCCATGGGATATACAAACTGCCTCAATATTCCAGTAACCTCACAAAATTTCTCTCTTGGACATGCCCATGTGCACAAACACACACAACCTCCCCAGTCGATTTCAATAATCCTTGGGTGGATTTACCATTTCCTAAGCAGGTTGCTATAGTGACCCTGCAGAGTATTTTTTCAAAACACTGTTGTACTGTAAATGTTTACATACAGCATAATCCTGCCAAATCGTCTTAAGACAAAGGAAAACACTTTGCTTTATGTCCAGCCTTCTAGCTTTTTTAGCATTGAGAATGTGCTTTCAACTAACAACACCAGCTAATTATACCCTTCTGTGGGCTTGCACACCCTCAGGCCTAATAATGGGTCATCTATTAGCTTTAATGAATAACAAAGCTATCGGATTTACTAGTGTTAGCTGATTTCACGCATTTCTGAGTAAATTCTGAGTTAACCAAAGGCTGCGGCTTAGCTCAAGGGCCAGACACCCAGTTGGTACAAATCAGTGTCACTTGATTGAAGTTAATGAAACTGTTGATACAGGGGGGCAGAACTTCACTGATGAACATCAGTAGATCTTTTTTATAGTCATCTTAATCTGGATAATTAATGGAACAATTTCATCATTTTTAGATAACATATGTCAGGAGAAATACATGGTTTCTGTTTTAATTCACATTCCTCTGGATTCCAGCAAGAGACCAGCAGTCAATGGAGTATAAAAGTATTTGTTCATGGTGTTGTTTTAAATACTGCAATGTTCCTGTATCAACATTAACAGTAGTGTGATTTATGATTACAGAACATGTACATAGCTATCAAATGTCTCCCGTGCCTCTACTCTGTTCCTAAGATACTAAAGCAAAGTCCAGAGCATAATATAATTTACAGCACTATAAAATCTTTTACAACTGAAGCACAGTGAAAGCTTAATATCCAAGACCTTCTGTAATATGACTATGTCATCTTGTTAAACCTTATTTATGAGAACACTAGGGTTGACAATTACTTCCTTCATGTCACTTCCCTACTGATTATCAATATCACTTTTCTCACTTCATGGTGTTCATAGAAGAAGGTCTTCCTTTCAAAAACATAGGTTCAGATAGATAACAGACTGTTTCCACAAAGTTTATGTTTTAGTTATGCCCTTAGATCACTTGCCCAAGATCATGATCTTTTTTTTCCTAGTATGAATTTACAACACTCTATTCAAGACATTTAGACCTAAGATAAATTCTGAAGCGCCATTACCTGAACCTTCTATGGTCTATTTTCCCCCAAAAGAAAACAAACCAAAATCTTGCAATTCTTGCAACTAAATTCTCATATAGTTCTGCATTTAGGATTTTAAAATAGGTCACACACTGGAAAGGCCTTATTTTGTCACAACCATTTGGATGCCAGAGGAGACTGGAACTGTTAATTCTTGTAATTTCTAGTGTTTGAGAAAGCAGAAATCCTGGGAGCCAGGTCACCTTGCAAGACTTCCACCGTCTGGTGCAAAAAGCAATGCAAACTTGTGCCTCCTTGATCATAGGACACTGGTGTATGGATGTTAAGCTCTGATTAACTCTGATGTGGCCCAAGAACAAAACCATCATCTCTAGTTTAACCCAAACCTAGCAGTGGGTTGGAAAACACTTTCCTTGAACTTTCATTATGCTGCAGAGCAAGGCAGAAAATGTTTTTAAAAAATCCCACAATCTTAAAAATATTTTTTCACTGCTTTCAGGAAATACCAGTCAACCCCACACAAGGCCAAAGCAGGACCTCAGCTGACAGCTTGGGAAAGTATCACAGTTGTCCCTTTTCATAGCACTGTAGAATGATAGAATGGCTAGGGTTGGCAGGGACCTTAACGATCATCCCTTTTCAGCCCTGTCTCCCTCCCTACTATCCCCCAAGAACTATATAAAATATTCCATCTGCTCAGCTGTTCAACCCTCGTTTTGGCAGTCAGGACACCAGCTCAGTGGGGAACATCCTACCAGCAGGAAGAGGTTGATTACTTAGACACCAGTCTCAGCACCACTGTCACCCACTCCAGCAACTTCACTGTACCACAGAATTGCTCGTTCCATTATCTGGATGACTTTAATTAATAATTTCTAATGGCATAATCTCTGGACTGAGAATATTAAAAATAAATTCTAGCATGGAATTATCAATCAAATACCATTTAAGGAAGGAGTACATTTTGAATAAAAGTGATACAAATAGGTAGATATGTGTATTTGCACCCTCGTGATACGATTTCTTCATACTTTTCTGGCAAGGAGAGGGAGCCTTAAAATAGAAATAAATTACAACCCCTTTTCTGTTTGGTTAAAGTAGCCTTAGAACAAACAAGAAATAGGCCTGCACATCTTAAAAGCATGGCAGCTAAGACTGAAAATAGATCTAATGTAGCTGTAATTTCCACTAAGATCTCTGATTCCTCAGCCTTGCCATTGGTTGAGAACATTTTCCTATCAAGGAATTCAACATTACACTCACAGTCCTAAATGTAGACTGACCAAATGTTACACAAGTCATCTACAGATTTGTAACATCTTTAGTCACACTGTAGAGTGCCTAAGTCCATGAGCAGTGCTCTAATAAAAAAAGGGCTCCTTGCACAGAATGGCATTACTAAAAATGAACATGGAGAGTGGATTCTGCATTATATTATCCAGGACTCCACAGAACTAAACTAACACAAAAATGTGTAATTATTATAGGAGCTAAACATACATGGAGCTCTGTTCCATATTAGTAGAAACCTGTACTGTTACATTTACTACTGCTGTCCTAAAGCTTCTCTCCCTGAGATTCTTTATAAACGTGACAGCCCTCTAAAATTAGAACTTCATCTTGTTCTGATATGGCAGTTCAATCTGGAATCAAACAGCATCACAGAAAAACTTCAGCCCTCCAGCCCGTCCTTCAACAAAGGACGTGTTTGTGCTATTGATTGTACTGCTGAAAATAATTTTACTGTGTTGACAGGCATCACTCAGCAGAGATTGTGATGAAAAGCTGAAAATTAGAAAGTTAAATGAACACCTGCAACAATTTTCCTGCCAATTTTACAACAAAATAAATATTGAATTATTCTGATAAGTGGGTCAAATTCATCCCTAGTGTCACGGCCCTTTGAGGTTAACAGTGCTACAACAGGAAAGAATTTGGCTCCTGTGTCTCTTTCACAGACCAATTGCTTCACTGAACTTTCAAACCTCCCGTGCCAACATTCATCTTCATTTAGAACCCATCTTCCCCTCTTTACTGAGCTTTTGCAGCAAAGCCATAATTTTCCTCACAACTTGCAGTCAATTATGTTGACAGTTTGACATGAATACTGTACGTACACAAAAATAATTTGCAAAACAACTTTTTCAGTTGTTAGACTTTACAGTCATTTCCATTATACACAACTTTCTTTGATATGCATAATTCCACAAGCTATCCTTCCAGGAAGAATATGCATCCTCCACACCATAGCTGCTTGAATAGCGTTTTACACACCCAGGGTGCTGCTGAGATTTTATGAAAAAGATACTATTACGAAGCTTCATTTTTATCCTGTCCTTTTTTTTTTCTTTTTTATTCTATTGCTAGCAGAAGTTGAGGGACACATTATTTTTCTCTTGCTAAACAAGCAAAAATGTTATTTTTGCAATCTACAAGTGCTTACGTAGCAAGAAATTCCCGTAAGACCTGGGAAATCCATGGAGGGTTACAGCATCTTGATTAGATTCCCCCCAATTCGGGAGGTTCTGACACTCCCAACAGTTGAGAATGGTGTGAATGTGATGAAAAACATTTTCCACCAATCTGCTATGGAAAGCAATGCTCTGTTGGATTTCCATATGCCCGTTACAGCCTGCTCACACCTATGGATGAACAGCTACCTCATTAAGTGAAAAAGGCTTCAAAAGGCAAAAGGGAGATAACACATTATCATGTGCATGATTCCAAGGGCCATCGAGTCCCATTTTTGGCACATTTGCCCTCTCAAACCTGAAAAAAAAGACAAAGCAGGGTCCCTGATTTTAAGTTTCATGAATGATTACTTTACCAGTTTTTGGCATCCGAGTTGTGTTCTGTAGGTACTCTCCACTCTTATACAGATTCAAAACCCTCTCCAACTGAGCAGCTGTTTCATCTATCCCCCAGTGAAGCTCTCCTTTAAAAGCACAGAAAAAGAGTTAGTTAGATGAGAAGCATCCTGCAGAGGACACAATGAGGTTGCACTTGAATAAAGCCCTAAGCATCAGAGCCCAACAGTGCCCTGCTCTACGGTGCAATTGTGATGAGTCCATGAAGTCTCAGAGTTACTACAAATTGGATGTCGTTCCTGACCTGAGCCAGGCATCTAAAAGGCTGGCTTGTCCAGCTGGGAACCCCAGGCCTGAGGGCAGAAAACACTGCAGTGAGCTCCCCAGGAGGGACAAATTTCAGCCAATATAGGGAATTCTCAAAGCTCTGCTTATTAATTAGCTATAGCCCAGGATCATTAACTTTCCCATTGAATACACACAATACAAGGTATAAAAGCCCTATAACAATGCACCAAAACCCCTCAAATCAGATTTACAGCCATGTGCAACTAGTCTTGTCCCAAAGGCACTACCTTGGTAATTAGTACAGTTCTATGGTAACGTCATTTGTCTTTGGTTTCTGAGGTATAAAAGCACCACTGGTAACATTGGCAATAGGGAAGTATCCTGGTTTTATCGTTAAAATTCCCCTTGCCAGAGACAGGAGCTCTTCCAGATCCCACAGGGGATTGCGTTCTGACACAGTTCACACAGTGCTGAGGTGTCAGGAGGAAGTAAATACCTCTGTGAAGCCTAAATAATATCTCAAAATGGCATTTCTCTGCTATATGGGACCATTTTTGCCTTCTCTGTTAGTGGGAAACTTTATCCTGGATAGAAAAACCATCTGGCTCTATTGCAGTGAATATAAAAGCAGCCTCCTCCCCATCCCAAAGATGACAGTCACACTAAAATAGGCAACACTTGGCAGTACCATGTTTATTGCAATTACCTGTTGCATTGACTATCTTATCCAGTAATGGTCTCAGTGAGGATGGTGCACTGTGTGGGAGAAGATACGTAAAAAAAAACCTGCAACAGAAAAGTAACCCATATTGAAAAATTATTTAAAAGAGTTTACAAATGTCTGGTAACTTCTGAACAATACAAGGAATAAAATTCCTATTGCTTATAAGCCACTGACCTATTCAGGAAATATAATCATATTCTGTATTCAAATAAATTCATAGCTGAACCTATTAACACAGCTGTCTGGCATACGTAGACCACGCTGTTATACAAAAGGCTGCCTTGTAAGTACATGTAAATGTTCCATTAATACAGAAATTTGCTGTGAAGCCCCCTGGATTGTGACTATTTGCAAAGCTGTCTTTTCTTCAAGAAATCAAAAAGATGCCATCAACCCCAGAGAGGTCTTGGGTTGTTGTTTTTTTTAAATCTTGAAAGTGCATAAATCACACTTATGCTCTATTATTTTCTTTTCTACACTTTTCTCAGACTTTCAAATGAATTGCCAGGAGAAAGCCTTCTTCTATTGTTTTAACGCCACTGCAATTCAGAATGTCTTCTCTGTTCTCATCATTTATCTAAATTGAAAATGCATTCATGTAGATATTCATCAATGGATGGATATTCTCCACTTTAATTACGAAAGAAAAAACAATATGCCTTCACCATCACTTGGAGTACACTTAATTTTCACATTGTTCCTCTGCATTTCTATTACTCTGCCAATATTACTTCTCATTGCAAACTCAGTGTCATGGCAACCCAGGATGGAGATGGGTAGTTTAGGATCTGACAATAAAAACAGAACTATCAGACAGAAATATTAGGTAATGAGCAGAACAAGAACACTAATGGGAAGTTGCCCTGATTTGCATCTAACCTGCAAAGTAAACATTTTTTCATGTACAGAGACCACATTGTCAGATAGAAACCCCCAGGGACTCATGCTCAGGAGGGAGACTAGCAGATGCCTTACAGAATCACAAATCAAACCATAAAGTTACTGATGGATAAAACTGATGTAAGACACAGGTATTACTGAGCTGACGTATTCCACTTACACAGTGAATATGTCCTTGAGATTTTAACTCCCTTTTTCATCCCTTACAAAAATAATATGCATATGATGCATTCTATATTAATATTATTTTAAAATAATATTTATATTATTAATATATGTAAATATATTTATTAAGTGCAATTATTCCCAAGTGGGAATAATTTTTAGCGGTAAGTATGAAACAGTCAATATAAATACACAGAGAAATCTCATAAGCAGCATAACGTTTCTAATGAAATTTTTTTCTGGTAAAATTTGCTTTATTTTTCTGCTTAAAGATTACCCATAAGAAGAGTAGATTTGAACATGAATACTTCTCTGCAAAAATTCAGTAGCTGCCATATACTTTGCTAAGCACTGGATGGATGCAATTCACCAACGTTATTGTTTCTCTGTGGCTACATAAATATAGGACTTGCTCTAATGCAAACATCCACATGTGAAATTCTGACATTTAGAGACACCGGCGCCTGCACAACTTAATTGCAGGAACATTTGTTATTCATTGATTCCAAGGCCAGTGGCATCCCTTGTGATCTGCATAACACAGATTGTCAGATCCTTTTACATTTTTTCCTCCAGCCTTTTTTTCCCTTTCCTTTTTCTTTTTGTGAACTATCTGATCTTAATTTAAGAACTGTCAGTGATAGAGAATTCATCGGAGAATCCATCAGGCATTGGTAAATAGTTCAAAATATTAATTATCCTTCCTTTTAAAACTGTCCAGTGCTTTGAAAATTGTTCCTCCAACATTTGGAGGAAAATCCATGGAGGCACATTTGTGACAGAAGGTAACCATCTGAAAGTCAAGACAAACCAGTTCTTGCAAAGTAGAGTTTTATTCAAAATGTTTTCTTTCCTTTTAATTATCTACCTCATAAAGAAACCAACTAGCTAGGATTATTACACTTCCAAGGCTAGGGCTTGCTGGTTTTAAAATTATGAGGGTTTTATGCATTGTTTGACATACTGCTGCTTTTGATTTCTACTTAACAGCACCAGGACTCCTCTCCTGGAGGCAATCTCTAACCCTATGGCAACAGTGCACCCATGAAAATAGGAAATTTAGGAGCCCACACCTAAGGAAGTGAAGATGTAGTCTTCCAAGACAAGTGCACAGTTTGTTGGTCACATCCTGCCATGGGCGTTTGCAGCCTACTATAGCATGAATCGGCTGCTTAACAAAAAGCCACTGTCTCTTTTGAATTAAGCAAAAGCAAGGGCTGAAAACACTGCGGCACTGTGTGTGTTACACACTGGTGTGCAGTGCAAAGGCAATATTAAGAACAATAACATAAAGACTGCTTCCCTCAGTGAGACCAGCAACCTGCTGCAAGCCCATCACACCACAGACATGTCCCCACTTAAGACCGAAGTGGATGGGTACCTATTAAAGGTCTCTTAACTAGACCAATAAAACAGTTTTGACCAAAAGCTAGCAAGCTAAGCAGGATCTTTCAGCCAAGCAAATGGGAAAAGGAAAATTTTGCAGGACACACTAAAAACTGCACTGCATCATTGCAGATGGCTCTCATGTGGTGCAGCCCATTTCAGTGTGGTCAGCTAATGTGATACACATGCTGGTGAGCACCCTGGGACCGAAGCAGAAGACTCTCTTTGGAGCAGCCTCTCCTCACTGTGGTCTGGCAGGCAGTGAATGGAATGATACTTGAAAGGGAAGCCTAAGAAATGAGAACACCATTATGGCAGTGCTTTGAGATCCTCTTATCTGCATCAGCCAAGGCAGCCACTCAACACAGCAGTGCCCATCAGCCAAAGCAGCAGCAGGAAGAGCTTGGCCCTGAGCACTGGCTACCAGCTTTCTGGAAAGCAGCAAGACAGCTCCCCAGCAGCCCACACAGCCCTCCGAGGGGAGCAAGAGATGAAGGGGAAGTGTCTCTAGGGGGACTCCAATATAAATCTGGAGAAACCCTTAAAATCAAATTTAGAAGACAGATGCATCAGCTGAACACTTTCTTTGCCATGGGCAGCTGGTCTGACCATCCCCTACATGTGGGAGAGCAGCACTGGGAGCCAGTTCTCCAGCACCTGCCATGCAGGGACCAGGGACTGGGAGAGAGGCAAAAGGGAGTATCTCTTGCTTTCAAAGATTTGGCATTACACCTCAGATTGTCCGCAACTGAGGGTCTTGACAGCTCCACAGCTGCACCGGGGACTGTTACCACCTCACCAAGGCAGGCTCCAGAGAGGCAGGGACCATCCAGCCAGAGCACAGGATGAGAACTGAGCTCTAACCCTGTCCCTGAAGGCAGCCCCTTCCTCAACCGGTGGTGATGAACACATAATGACCCCTCTTAACTCACACCGAAGAAGAGTAGCCTGAATCATCTCACCACAGAGCCAATGGGCCTCCACCTCCACAGACACCTACTTCAATCCTATGAAAAATCTCTACTCAATGGAATGAAACCAACATAAAATTAGACTAAAAGTGGTGAATCACACACAAAGTATGTAAAACATTCCTGAAGTTATAAATGCTACATGTTTTCACAAAAGAAACAATTATTCATGGCTTCACTTACTCTTGGGTAACGGTTCTGAGACAATACGTACTCATTGACATGAATAGCTATAAAGACTGCTGGAGATGTTTTCCCCGCTTTCAGTTCTCTTTTACCTTATCTGATCACGTACCTGTAGGCATTGTAGAGATTTCTCTTTTCATTCATATTCTGACACCGTCCCTCAACCGAACAGGGCAGGGTGAAGTTCCTCGCAGGGAATTCCATGAAGCAGTCACGGTTACTGGTGCAAGAGCTCTCCTCGATGCTGGCGTCGTCTAGGTCTGTCACCTTCAGTTCTCCATCCACTATCACAAACTGCCGAGGGCGAAAATCCAGTAATGTCACAGAGCCCAGAGGAGAGTGAGCCAAATAATGCAGAAGCCGAACTAAGCTGAGACATATCTGAAAAGCAAAAATGTGGATGGATACCTTTTCTTATTTTCTCAGTGCAAAGTATATACATGAAACCACTTTAACTGAAGATAGATTCATAAATACATGACTTAATATAAGCGTTTTAACTTTTCCTCAAAACTGAATGTTGCAACTAAGGTATTTTTCAAAGGATTAACATTGTTGACTGTAAAACCCTTAAGAGACTTGAAAAAAAAATAAGCTTCTTTACCAGTTCGTTCCCACACTATACTTAAAGCAGGGCTCATTGTTGCTATTCTTACTTTTATTAGAAATAAAAGCATTAACTTTTAATAACATATTACACACAGTCCTTGACCACGCAGCCTGATTCTGCTCTTTTACAAACTCTTGGTCTGGAAGTTTTGGCCAGACTGTCCTGTGCCCGCACCCAGAGCTCCAGCTGCAGACGGTGTCTGTATCGCCTCCCCACTGATCCTGCTTTTCAACTGCTTTTACAATTTTTTTCCAGTCGTTCCTCTCATATCTTTTTCCAGGAGAGAAGGAAGCAAATTCCCAGAAAGAGGAGCTCCACAGCTCCTCCAGTAATCTTTACCATGCTTCAGGATAAGCGTGTATAACCATCTACCTTGGTGGATCCTCATGTGCCACTTTGAGGCTGGTATGGGAGCTCTGGGCTGATGCTGCATTTTTCAATTGCAGGTTAGAAACCTGAGTAATTAAACTCGAACATTGAACTCAGCCCCCTTACCAAAGTACTGGCTTCAATTCATGCATTCCTTTAGAGTCTACTATGTAATGTATTAATGCAAACACAACATTAATATGAACACAGTTAAATACTGGAACTTTTATTCTATGTATTAAATTAATAACAGGTCTTATTCAGTCTAGCAAGCTTTTTATTGTTTACACATAAATTTTGTTCTCTGTTAAAACACACTGTTAAGGCCACGTGCATTGAAGTAGTGGTCAAATCCAAATTCAGTCTTGGGGCATAAACAGTACGCTGAGGGAGCACATAAATGTGTCCTTCATAACAAAGCTGAGCATGTCAGAAGTTATCCTCTACAGACCTTTGCCCTGCAGGACATACGGGCTATCTCACACTATTATTATCATTCTCCCACTTGACCAGACTAGAAATTTTTTATCCTGGAGACACCTGTAGGTGCAGATGCACACAGGCCTGCTTATGGGATGCCAGACCTGAGCACCCTTTCCTCCCTCTGGAAGGACATAAGATGAAAATCTGTGCATCCTGCGGCACGCTGTATATAAAAGGCACATCCAGCCCAAACTAAACTATAATACATGTATCTTCAATTGCCAACAAACCCAGTATTTTAGCTTGAATAAAAACACAGGTTGCCATGCCAAGACACCCCTGCTCTGGCACTGGCAGCCCCCAAGACCAGGCTGAGCCCCGATGGCTGCTGCCCCACTTCCCTGCTTATTACTCATAATCTAACTAATCTCTTGGTCTTTTACTTTGTACAGAGTTGCTGTCACAGTCAGGTATTTGCTGGATGAGACAAGCTGAAGACAGGTCCTGTACTTCAGGAACAGTGACAAACACCTCTACTGCTCATGGAAACTGTACTTATTTCATGAAAGGGGAGTTGAATCTTCGTGCAGGGAACATACTTGTTCCGTCTCTATTAGTAGAATAAACTGTGCCAGGGAACATTCCTGGGCACAGAAACTGAATCCCACATGCACGCTGCCTAGCATAGTCTCTGGCTTAAGTCTGATGGGGACCAAGGTTGCTCTCCCCAACAGACCCCAGGTGCCATCCCAAAGGCAGCACGACCCAGAGACCATTCCCAACAGGCATCCTGCATGCAGCCACCCAGCCTTCAGGGACTGCAGGAATTCAATAGCACAGACATGGGCTGCACCTTGCTGGTTTGTCTCCAAGATCAGTCAGGAGCACTTCTACTTTTCTAGTACAGCTGTAGCCACACAATCCAAAGTGTTTTAGATGAAAACTGCTGCTGCCTTGCAATGTTTTAGAGAGTTAACCTCAGCCCATGACATGTCCCAGTATACACTGAGTGAGAGAGAGCTGTCTTGATCAAAGCATTGCTGCAGCCTGGCTTCATTTTGAACAAATTAAGTGTGACCTTCGTGCTCCTGGTAAATTGCCAATGTGATGCACAAGCAAGGTTTGATATTCATGTATATTAATTTCACTCTTTCCTCAGTAAAAGATGAACAGATGAGGAAGCAGTAGAAAACAATTATAAAAACAACCTATGATAAGGATCAGGACAGAAATGTAACATCCTTCTATTGTTTAAATCCCAGTTGCAGAGCACAAAACTCAATGCCAAAGATTTGGGGCCTTGAGCTTTAACAAATAAGAGATGTTTGAAGGTACGTAAAAGGCATAATCTGCTACCATTAGATAACATCAAGAGACAAAACAGTACATCTCTGACACTGCAGAAAGGGTGTGCTAAATGTTGTTTCTACACCAAGACGTAATCATAAGCAAAGCAAATGTTTAATAAATGTGAATTGCACTGCATAATCAATAACACCCCTGCCTCATCCTTGATGTTACTTTGTATTCATCGCTCTCTTAGAAGTCCTTTTAAAACAGTTGTTACTCACTCGGAATCTGTCTTCCCAGGAAGTCTGTAAAAGCTGAATCATCTCTAAAGGCGAGCCTAGTTCAGTGATGGTCGTCAGGGTGTCTGGGATGTCATTGCTATCCTGGTAACAATATCCATAGAGCTGAAAAAAAAAATCATAAACAGGCAGTATCAGTGTAAGGCATCTTGGCACACTTCTAGGTTTCTCTGCAGACAAGGTGTGAAGTATTTCTTAAAAGGCTTTGAGCTCTACACGCTGTATTGCCTTGATGTCACCCCAATAGTTTTTGTGTCCTCTCATTTGCAGAATGCTGCCTCAAAACTCCCAAACTAGCTAGCAGAGTCTCTTGTGGACATCATAGAGCAGATGGCCAGAGAAGTGTCCCCAGCACACCTCTCAGTTCAAGATCTTATACCAATAAATATTTAAGAGAAAAAAACAAATAGATTAATGTAGAAACATAATTCTGTATCAGGAAAATTAGTTCTATGCAGTACCTAAGTTAAGTGATTTTCTACTTACAAGACATCACAAAGTAGCTTATAATAAAATTTTCTATAGGACTACCTTTTGTGCGTTGAGTGGCAACATGTAATTCAATGACATGGGAGCTTGAAAAGCAACTGAAGCACCAAAACTTCTCTTTTCCCAGACAGAAATTATCTCTCGCTATGCTTGGGCTTCTGTGTGCAGGATTGTTAAAGAAGGGCATATACTTCAAAATATTATGTGCCAGTAGCTTCTTCTGTTTAAAACCATTTAAATGGCTATGCTCCAGCTTCCTCTTATATTTGCTTTCCAAGGACATTTGGATGATTAATTTTCACTTGTACAAATAATCGCACAAGAAGAATATTTAAAGACTGTGGAGAAGTGATGTCTTGCTTTATATGGAGTGGGACAATGTCTGACAGGGCTGGGGGACAGGCTTTTACAAATTCCCTGCCAAGCCCTGGCAGAGAGACAGTTAATTGAGCCTGATAAGGATCTGATTGCAACTTTCCACCCAGAACAGCGTGCACATGAAATAAAATTAAATGTAATCTCTGCCTCCAGTCAAATAAACCACACAGTAAAAGGGTCTGTGTGAAAACACAGCATTAAAACATGCCCTTGCTGCTGTTCCTCTACTGCTTTGCCTGGAGTAATTTGACTTTTTCAACCTCTTTTAGCTGTAAAAAGCTCAGGGAAGGTGACAAGGGTCTCCTCTGAGCTGAGGGGACTCGGGTCTGGCCCTGCAGAAGAAACCAGGCTCATCCAGATCAGAGGAGGGACTGACTCTAACTCACCAGGAAAGCAGAGAGCCAGACACCAGCCAGTGCCACAGGCGGAGGGAGCAGGGTGAGGCTGAACACAGCTCTTGTGAGCAGATTCGAGTACCAAGCACATTCTTGTGCCTTGTGACCCTCTTAGACAGAAAAGCAAAGACCAGGCTAAACTCAGCAAATATGGGATTTGTTATGAACTGTTCTGCTAGCTCTGACTGTAGCTGTCTATATTTAAAAGAAAAAAGGGTGCCAAAAAATGTAAAAGAAGTAAACAGTTTTTCTTTTTGGTGTAAAAATGGCACTGTATTTCAAAACAGCTGCTTAGACATGGGCATTAACCTAAACAAAAAAAAAAAAAAAAACCAAAAAAAAAAAAAAAAGAGCTAGAAGATTTTATTTTAAAACACGCTGAAAAGATTTTGGCATCAATGCACAACAGTGAATTTGTGATAAATGCCAACAGGAACATTTGAAATACAAAAAAAGGGACCCCTCTCTTCACTGCCACAACCATGACAAAGATTGAAACAGCAATCCTTTCTTAATAACCAAAAAAAAAAAAAAAAGAGCTAGAAGATTTTATTTTAAAACACGCTGAAAAGATTTTGGCATCAATGCACAACAGTGAATTTGTGATAAATGCCAACAGGAACATTTGAAATACAAAAAAAGGGACCCCTCTCTTCACTGCCACAACCATGACAAAGATTGAAACAGCAATCCTTTCTTAATCTAAAGCCACTAGGACCAGTCTTGGCTTTGTTCCTTAACATCTATGACATCATTTTTGTGCAGCTTATTGATGGGAGCTAAATCTCCATGTGCTGTAAAATATCTTAGAGGATCACATCAACACAATTCTGTTCAAGCCTTCTGAGCCAGCAAAAAATTAAATTCAATTATAATATTTAATACAATATATATATCTTCTGATAGGTGAGCTGGATTCTGCAGTTCTTACTGGGTGTTTCACACCTGTTATGTGTGGAGACAGACTAAGCAAGCAAGGTGAAGCTTGGTAGGTTTGAAAACCCTCACTTCTGATGTTAAAATCTAAGGTGCTTCTGTATCACCTGCAGAGTTCAATGCTTGTCTTTACAAAGTGATGCTATCTACCAGAGAAAAAAGCCATAAGGGAAATAAATGAGCAAGCAGTACAGACTGGGAAGCAACAGCATCACAGTAACTGCTGGGTCACAGTAACACTGAATACAAAAACAGTAACAGTCTTCACTAGACATTCCCAACATTAGTGAAAACCCTTCCAGGAACATAAATACAGAAGAAAAACAACAATTACACATTAATTTGATTATAAAAACATTAATATGTACACATCTGCAAAAACAAAAAAATGTAAATTAGTCTTATTATCTACGTGAATTTGAACATAAGTAGAAACTAATCACAGCATCTATTTGTATCTATTTTATCCCTATGCACCAATGCCAATAGTAATAATAATGATTTAGATTTGTTCTCAGAGAGCTGGAACTTTGCTCATAAGCCATTATTTCATTTTACTATTAAATTTGTACCTTGGCAAAAGTGTTCACTGCCTGAGTATCTGAGTATTTGTTGTATATTTTACTATATTAATGCCCATTTAATCACTCCAGTCATTGTGAAAGCTTAAATTACCTGATTCATTTTTTGGTTTATATTAAATTGCTCTTTATTATCATAAGAAAATTTTCTTGCATGAGTACTGCTGAATTTAATCAATCTTACAAGCTGAAAAACACAGTACTGAGCAAGTTAGCATAGGTCTAACTCAAAAAATATATAAACTAACCTGGGCTCTTTATTGCTTTTACTTAAGTGAAACCTCTCCAGATGCAGTGTTATTACATAATTATATAGAGTTATAAAAGCACAGAAGTCTGAGATATAAAGGGTTTATTGGGCCACATTTATACTTTTCTAAATGAACTCCTGCAACTAAATGCAAAAACGCACATGTAATTACACAGCCATATTTGTGTGAGCAATTACCGTGATTACAAACTGGGCATGTCCCAACAGCTAGTAAAGCATCTAAAATGGCTACATTCATCCTCTCCTGATGAACCACTACCCAGCACATACACGTTACAAAACACAGAATATATATATAGATGCAAAAATATTCCAAGACAGTAATTCTTAGGCCTTTTGTTTTAGAAGCTGACTTATTAAGACACTGAAACAAGTACAGAAGCACTACCCAAAATACTTTTTTTTTTTCTTTCCCCTTTTCATTTTTGTTCAATCCATTTTAAGGCCTGAAATGAGACAAAATGGTTTGTATTCCCAGACAGTGAAGTAAGAAGCAGATAGCTGGATGCATACAGTAACAAGAAAAATAACCACACGGGGAAACTGAATATAGCTGGAAGCAAAAGATGAGCCAAAATATCTCCTCTATCTGAAATTCTATTAGGTTGGACATCATTCTCAGCGTCGCAAAGCTACACTTTAGATTTACTCAAGAGTGATGGTTTTCATATGCCTTTTCAGCATGGTTCCAATTAAATGAATGGAAAGAAATACCATCCCACATCTTTTTGCTATCCCGACTCACTGCATTTAAATGCCACCCCAATATACTGTTGTGTAGAATTTAATAGCAAACAGTCACAATATTGGGATGCCTTTCTGTCTGTTTAGAAAAAAGTATGCCAGATATGACATGTTGACCTGTTCTCACATCATGTGCCATGATTCACTTTGAATAGTCCTGTTTACTGAATCCTTCCCTCCCTGCTTGGATTTTCTGTCATAAATGCTTGGTCCTGCATTAGTCATTATGCACCCAAAACTCACACTGACTTCAACAGTTTTTGAGCACTCTGGGCATACAGGGTCAGCCACTGCAAACGCCACATTGCTTTGTAGGATGCCACGTCCCCCAAACCAGTCAGTTCACCTCCTTTTATAATTCCCTTTTAGTACAAATTATGGGGACAGAGGTGCCCCTTTCAGAAGAGCTGGGGCAGGGGGGGTGGGGGAGGAGGAGGGCAAAAGCAGAGGTCAACCCCTACACAAAAGCTGACAAGCTTAGTGAATAAAAACACAAAATAAAGGAACTTATTAAGCTGTCATCAGCAGGGTAAGTCTGTTCAAACAACCGGCCCTCCTGCATTAGAGTAGACACCCTAGCTGGATTTTCAGAAAAATAGATGTCAAGCCATAACCTCCTCCAAAGTGTTACATTTTATATACAGCGGTTGCTCCATCGGAAGGGCAAGAGTGGCCACCTTCCTCCCCCAGCTCAGCAGCTTCCCTACAAGCAATGCCCCAGCTACTAGCAGGCAAAACTCTCCAGTAAGAACCATAAGATTTCCTTAAAATTCACAGTGCACTGGTAATGTTTTTCTGTGTCTTGCTAGGTTTTGCCCTTAAAGGTCACAATTCTTAGATCTTTCTCTACAACCACAAAAGCTGGAAATTTCCCCCTTTTTTTCTTTAAAGAGCATGAGATTTCCATGACTCCAGGAAAAGGAACTTAAAGAACACTATTTCCATCTATAATATAAGTGACACACTCAACTGCATTACACCAGAAATAATTTCTAGAAACCTAATTCTCTTCTCTTATAATTTGCACTTGCCCAAGCTAACTACAGTATGGCCCAACTGCTGCCCACGATAGAAAAGAGCAGTTAAAAAACCCCACTACATTTATGGAGAGCAACAGTAACCAACACTTGCCACAGCCTTTGATTTCCAAAATACATGGATACAGGGTTACTTAATCAAAACTGGTTGTGTCAAGACTGTATTTTGTAGTTACTTGGTGCCCAGAGGAAACAAAAAACTCCCACTGACATGGGTAGCCATTTGATGAGCCATTTGCTTGAGCTGCTACATGTTAAAACCAGAACAGCACAT